ATACAGCTTTACTAAAAGGAATGTCCATGACAGCACGTTGAAACAGTGAATTACTGCAAGCTAGTAGCTCATGAGATATCTGATGGATGTGAGAACTGCTGTTTCTTTTGAGAATTTAATATCATTAAAATATCTAATGGTGCCCCTTTTAGTTTGTCGTGGCGCCCAGAGGGTCTTGCCACACTAAACACATTCACATGTATTACCTCTTTCGATCCTTAAGAACCCTATTAGGTGGGTCTGTCGTCACCCCCACTTACAGAGGGAGGAGAAGAGTCACACAGTGTGGAAGTGGCAGGGCCAGGACTGGAACCCAGGTGGTCTGGCTCTGCAGCTCACTATCTTAATTAACCACTCAGGCACGCTGAATCTCCTGATGGCTGTATCTTATACTCTAAACCTAACTTGTCTTCTCCCAAACCAGCCATCCTTGCTTCTCTGGTTTTGCTACAGTCCTGGCCATAGAATCGAAGGTAGAAAGGGTGCACGTGCCAGCAGCTGGCCCTCCAGGCTCTGCAGGCTCAGGGCACACGGTTCCTGAAACGCTCCTTTCCTCCTCCTCTGGGCTTCTGCACAGGTCCCGCCTGGTTTAAAAGGCACAGAACCCATAAATATTTGTTGGATAATAAATGACTACATTCAAAGTATGACTACTTCAGGTTTGGACGGTCAGTCAAATACAGGGCGACCCCCCCAAAATCCATAATTTATTTATAAAAAGTTGTGTATTTATTCTTACATGTTTAAACTTTAGTCACCTTCAAAGTACTCTCCAGTTGATGCAATACACCTATCGAGATGTTTTTTCCACTGGTCAAAACAGGTTTTGAATTCAACTTTGATGCCTTTTAGCACTTCTGCCATTTTTTATTTCACCTCTTCTACATATGCAAAAAAGTTTCCCTTTGAGAACTTTTTTCATCCAGGGAAACGAGCAAACAAAAAAGGTGCTTGGGGCAAGACTGGGTGAATAGGTAGGGTGGGGAACGAAGGTCAGGCTGTGGTTTTGTTTTTTGCTCAGAAGCTGCTGAACACTCAACGCAGTGTGGGCAGGTGTGCCAGTAAGTGACCCATCAGGAAATGGGCAAACACGTTGAAAGTCTTCCAAATAAGTTCACTGAAGCCAAATGCAGCCTCTCACGATGCCAGCTGGAACACTGATACAGATGGGACCTAGAACACTCACCTAGTGGGGGAAGCCTATACTACAAGGGGACTACCCTCAAGAAGATAATTCCATTTTTATTTTTTGGTTCTCCCTCATATTGATTCATAACAGGCTTTTACCCTAAACTATAATTCTTTTTCACTAGCAACTGCTAGCCACGTGGGGGGGATTATAAATAAGTCTCTACCCTTGAGGAAATTATGATTTTATTTTCCAAAGTACTCAGGTTCAAAACCTCAAGGGACATCTCTGTATTCACTCATGCTTGTCTTCCCAGATCCAGGCCCAGACGCCAGAGCGTGTCAGTTCTTCCTTCAGAGCCTCTCCTGAATCTGTCTCTTTCAACTTGATTTCTATCAGGCTTTTATTACCGACCTTGGACTATAATAAACTTGGACTGGGCTGTCTGTCTGAAGTCTCCCCTCGGTCTGAACCACCTGGTGCAGCTCTATCACTTTATTCTTAAATCATGGTTTATAGCAAATTTAAACCCTGCTCATAAGCCCCAAGTGCCCACTGCCTAATCCTTTATTTCAGAATTAAAAAAATTCTGAAATAATTTGCTTCCCAACCTACTTTTTCAACACATGCTTTCATCCAAATACTCACTCATTTGCCAAATATCACAAAATGCTCTTATCAAGGCACTACTGAGGTGACTACGACGGTCCCTGAGGAGTTAAAACCCCTGTAAGGAGCTCACAGTTTTTAACTGGGAAATGGAACAAGCAGGAAGACAGTAAGTGCAGGAAGAGAGAGACAGCAGGTGGCTGTGAGAGGTCAGAAGCTAATTCTGGGCCTGGCGGGCAGCGTGGCTGGTGTCGGTGTCGTCCCCGTACACCAAGGCTGCGGTCAGGGCACACACGGGAAGCCACCGATGAACGCACCAACAAGTGACCCAACACACTGACGAGTCTGTTTGTCCATCTGTCTGCCTCTCAAATCAATAAAATAAAGTAACAGTTAATTCTGGCTGGAGGGTCAGATGTCCCAGAAGAGGGAGCATGTGACTAGGTCTTGAAGGGGAGGCACGGCTTCAGTGTGTGTGTGTGTGGGGGAGGGGAGGGCACGGAAAGATGGAAACATAACAGGTGAAGGGACGGTGTAAGAAGGTCTGAGAACAAGTTTGGTGCCCATACGGCAAACGCAAAGCAGATGAAGAAGAGGCAAACCTGAAAGGGGAGGTTTAGGGCTAAACCAGGGGCGTTTAGGAATGTCTGGCCAAGGGTTTGGACATCGATATTTAAGAATTCTGCAAGTACCGGGGACGGAGTGGAGAGCCAGCCAGCCAGCCAGCCAGGACCCGGGCCTCCTGGCGCCTCCAGTCTAACACGAAGGCAGTGAGCACCCACTGGAGAGGGTGGACAAGGGCTGTCGTCATCAAAGTGGGCTTATGGTCAGTCTCCTGTCAACATGAAAGATGAATTGTATGGGGGAGGAAATGGAAAGGAGGCCACCGATTCCATGAAGTGCAGGGAGGAATGAGGCCATTCCTCCAAGACAGTGGCAGTGGTAACGCAAGACACGAAGGTGGGGAGTGATTAGAGGAGGAAGAACACCAGGCCTAACACCTGCGTGGGACTAGTCAGAGCAGGGAAGACCGAAATGTAACTGTGAACGTAAGTAAACCGTGAAGCTGAAACACCCAGAACACTGGTTGTCTCTGGGGATGGATGGGAAGGGGCGGGAGCTGGACAGAGGCTTGGTCGCGGAGGCGGCTGCCCTTACCAGAACTCACTGCGGTGTACTTAACATTAGTGCGCTGGTTGTATCATGGTAAGTTTTACCTAAAAACAGAAAAGCTCTGAAAACAGATGTCGAGCTTAAGTTAATGATATGGAAGCTGAAGTATTTAGGAGTGAAGTGCACATCTAAAATTTAATTCATTAAAAAGATGGATTGGTGGATGTATGCTAGAGCAAGCAGCAAAATACTGGGTTGGCCAGAAAGTCCATCATGTTTCTTCTGTACGATGGCTCTAGTAGCATTTAGTTGTCTTTAACTTCATCTGAAACAACTTCATTAGATTGTATTGTGACAGCTGTCTTATCGGGTTGCATTAAAAAAAAAAAAAACACATAAAAATTGGTGAACTTCTGTGCCGCCACTTTAATACTGAAGATGGAAGAAGACAGGTGACATTCCTGAAATATGATGCTTTATTCGAATTAAGAAAGGTAAAGATGCAACTGAAATGCAAGAAAAGATTTGTGCAGTATATGGAGAAGGTGCTGTGACTGATCGAACGTGTCAAAAGTGGTCTGCGAAATTTCTTGGTACTACTGACATTTTTGGTCAAATAGTTCTTCGCTGTGGGGCTGTCTTATTCAGTGGAAGATGTTTAGCAGCACCCCTGGCCTCTACCCACTAGAAGCCAACAGCGAAAGACAGCTGACATACTCAAAATACCTGAATCAATAAAGCTATTGGTGAAAATGAAAAATGTGTCTTTTATTTTACGGAAAAAAGGTAACAGACTTTTTGGTCAACCCAATATTAATTACAGAACTTCACTGGGTGGCAGGGTGTTTACCATACAATTGCTTCAAATTTCTTTTTTAAAAATTTCATAATGAAGTGTTGAGAAAAATGACAAGCAAGTAGTTTTGAGTTTGGGTTGACTGGTAGAAAGCGGGGAATAGGGAAGGAGATAAAGGAGGAGGTGCAGGTTTGGGAGAGTGAGGCACCCGAAGCATCCGCACCCTGGGAGAAGACTCATTGGACAGCTGGAAACCCAGGGCCGGAGTTCGGCTGCCCTGCAATGCTCCCTCTCGGCCTCCAGGGGCTCCCTCCCTGATTCTTCTTGGGGCTTTCTCTGACCGCCCTGCCCTCCCCCATTCAGCACTGTGGAATTAGTTTATGACATCATCATATACTACTAGAATAGAAATTCTTAGGTTACACAGAATACATACTATTTCATGAAACAATTTTCAAATAAACAAATGAATAAAACCTGACCTGGTGGTTTTTGACTATACAGTTCCATCTATTTATTTAACCCTCAACAGAGGACATTTTTTCATTGCTTATAGAGAGAGATTAAGGAAGAGTTTTGCCTTAGGTGGCAAAACTGTAATTGATTTTTCCTTACTGTTATTCTGAATTTGTAAATTTCTACAAAAATATTATATTACTTTAGGGGGAAAACTTTGTTTTTAAAACAAAATCTTAATCACATAGTTATCAGCCCCTGAAGTACAAGTGCTGGAAAATTTCTCGAGTTGTGAAGAAAAAAAAATCAAACCAGGGTGCCTAATTTCCCAGCCCTACCTCCTCGAGGGAGCTCCCGAAGGTCAAGGGCTGCGCCCGCTCACCTCTGCTCCTCTCGGCACCTATGGCGGCAGGGGGCTTGCAAACAGTAAGCCCTCCCGTGGAGGGAGAACACCCACGGGACACCAAAAATACCAGGAAGGGCCACTGCCAGTTAGTGGAAGGCCATTAGCTTATTTCATTAGCTTGGTCATGGTTCTAATTTTAAAAATGTATTTTTCAAAATGAACTCATAAAACACCTTTTCATATCTCCCAACCGCCCCACACAGTGCTGCTGCTGAGTCGGCTCCTCCCATGAGCGCTAGGGACCAGGCAGAATAAGCCACGGCATTCCTAACCCATGCACGCTTGGAACGGAGGGCTGTTGGAAAACCCGCTCTGTCGTTCCAGACAGACCCAGCCTCGGTAATATTTGATACTGTGTCATTCCAAGAGGTTTACCTTGCTACATTCCCAATGGGTGACCCCAGGGCTGCTCGATTCCACGCCCACTTACTACTGCCCAGGAAAACCTGCTTCATTTCTTAACCCCACCACACTTCAAAGAAACGTTTTACCTTTTCTCCTCTTTCTCTTTCTCTATCCTTTTCTTCTTTTTTCTTTTTTTTCTCACTATGTCCGTCTGTGTGGAGGCCAGGAAGTGGTGGGGGAGGGGCAGCTGCTCCAGTGTAGGGGATGCTGGGAGGAGGTCCAGGTGTCATTGTGACTTCTCCCGCCGCTGGGGCAGAAAGTCCTGAACTTCTCTTGGACTTGGAGTGACGTTTCTCTTTATGCTTCTCCTTGTCCTTCTTCTTTTTGCTTTTCTTTGACTTCTTTTTCTTCTTGATTTCCCGGTAAGAATCATCGATCACTAACTCGCCGGCCTCTAGCTCCCCTCCAGAGGAAGAGTCTGATTCTACTAGGACAGGTTCGAGCCCTGAAAGATCCAGGTTAGCACTGTGGGATTCTGGGAACTGGGAGGCATCAGACCCACAGCCCTCAGGGCCGGGAGATGAGCGTGGGTCCGAGGACGACTTGTGCTTCTTCCGGGCGGTTTTCAGGAAGCTCTGTAACTCGTGTCCCAGGAGCACAGCACCTTGCTCATCCCGAGCTGACTTCTTAGAAGGTTTTTTAGCAGTGGCTTGCTGAGAGGGGCACTGGAAAGACTCCTCATCCACCGCACTGCTTCCCTTCTCCTTTGGTGAGAGAATGAGTTTCATCTTTAGCCCGTCAGGCTCCCGGAGGGTCAGGGTCTCAGTGTTCACATAGAGCGGCTTCATTTTTTTGGACTTGTGGGAGCTGCTGCTCTCCACGGACAGCTCCCCGCCGCCCCCACTTACTTTCTTCCTGTGGTGGTCCTTTCTACTTTCTGAATGGCTCGAAGAACTAGAGGATTTTTCCCCTGTCTTTTTGGAGGGTTTGGACCCTGTTGCCAGTGGGGAAGTGATAGCTTTCAACAGGTCCATAGCTGTATCAGCAGCTTGTGGGCTGGACTTTTTCTTTTTCTTCTGTGACGATTCCAAAGACGAAATATCTAGAAATAAGCAAGAGAAGCAGTGTCCATGTGACAAAGAAACTTCCAATAAGTTTCCTCTCTCGCCCCAAATACCCAACTGGCAGGAGGAAGAAGCTAACAGGAATGGTTTAAAGGGAGGCCCTTCAACTGACTCCTAACGTTCAGACGATGCCCACGTGCTTCCTGGGTTGGTAGATTCCGCCTCGGACCCTGCAGACAGTTCTGCCACTACAGTTGCTTTTCTTCAGCGAGTCTTCACACGCAACCAAGGAGAGTGTACCCACAAGACTGGGCTGTGGCTGTGGGACTATGAGTGCAGCTGGCCCTTGGACAACACCGGTGTGAACTGCACAGATCCATTTTATACGTAGACTTTTTCTCTTGCTTACGATTTTCTTAATAACGATGTTTTTTTTCTCTACCTTTATTGTAAGAATAAAGCATATAATACACGTAACATATAAAATGTGCTGACTGTTATGTTAGAGGTAGGGCTTCCAGGCAATAATGGGCTATTAGGTAAGTTTGGCGGAAGTTAAAGTTACATGTGAAATTTCGACTGTGCAGGGGCCGGTGCCCCAAATCCCTATGTTGCTCAAGGGTCAACAGCTCAGATCACGCTGCAGACAGAGTACTGTTCATTTCTGTGTCCAGGACAAACCCATTCTAGTAAAGAGTTAGTCTTGTCAGCTATGCATAATATAGCTAAGAAAAGCTGGTCTGTGAGTGGAGGTGCACTGGACTGAGAATTAACCCACAGGCGCAGGCCACAGGGCCCAGGGCTATATATGGCAAAAGGGATGCTCAGTAAAATGGGCACAAGATAAGTGGATGATTGGGGAGAGAAGGAACCTGGTACCTGGTGTATCACAAATGGAGACTGTTCTTCTATGCTGAATCCTCCAAAATACCAGCCCTCCACCTCTCTCCTCCTTCACACTGGTTTATCGGCACTCAGAACAAGAACCACTGTCCTGTTAAATAGGCCACTGAGTCAGCAACATCTGGATCCCTTTCCCCTACCCCGACTCCAAGAACCAGTGATGTGTTTACCCCCTGCGGCCCTGGCACACCCTCACCTCCATAGTAGTAATCATCAGAGGAGTGCTTCCTCTTCTTCTTGTGCGTGTCCGTCCCCAGGAAGTAAAGTTCGCTGTCCTGGAATCAACGAGGAAGAATTGACCAATGAATAAGATGATGAGGCAAAAGCAGCTTGGAACTAATCTTGTTTTTTGATGATTTCTGACTTTGGAAAACAAAGTAAAATAGAAAGTAATAAACAGTAAACACAAATGCTATTTATTTTTCTTTTTAAAAGTTTTTAAAGGAAACTTCTTTCTTCAAATATTAGGAAACATGACTGATGGTTTAAACTGGCCTAATTCAAATGTTTAGAATTTACCTTTAACTTCTTCTTGGAAGAATTCCTGACCTGAGCAGCAATTTCTTCCTCTTCCCTTAAAAAATCTTTGTAAGACCGTTTCTTTTCTCGTTGGCTCCGGCCGGCTGCTAGTCCTATGTCCTCAAAGCTGTGGTCACCATCGAAACAATCTGAGAGGCGTAGAGGTGTTGGTTCGTTTGGGAAAGGAAAGGAAACGAGAGGCAAGTAAGAAACAACGAAACCACCATGTATGTAATGCAACAAGTCCCTCCATTTCCAAACTGAAATAATGTTTCAGTGAGTCCAATGAATACAAGGCTAGATCCAAGGGGACAATACTTCTTGATGACTTGGCTGTAAATACAAGAATCAAACCCGAAGAAGCAATGCTTCTATGCTATGCAAGTTCCCAGTGTGCATCCTCAGACATGGTTTCTTAGTTGTGATTTGGCGGGTGGACACAGACTTGCAGAGGTAAGGCTGAAAAGAATGAGGATTCAGGTGCTGTGCTGCTCTGTGGGAGTCCAATATGTGATTCCTACCCCAGACTCCGGCACACTGGAGCTGGCAAGGACCACGAGTGCTGCGGGGATCACCCCAATAGACCACTACATTTCAGACTCTTTCATTGGAACCCTGTCTTGGTTTTCGTTTCCATGTACCCAGTCTGGGGATGACGTAGAGGCTTAATAGTGCTCTGGATCATCACTTGGGAGTCCAGGCTGTTATGGCCAGTCCTGGTCTCCATGTCCACGGGCTGCAAGGATTGAAGAGGACACCCCCTTTGAAATGCTTCTCAGATTAAGGGGTCATACCTTCTTTCTTCACGGCGTCATCATAAGCCATGGCGGTCCTGCAGGGCCTTTGAGAATGTGTCTCTGTGTCCAGGCTCCTTCCCGTCTACAGGACCAGGCCTGAGGAACAAAGAAGGAAAACCTTCCTGTAATGCGAATCACTGTGGAGAGGCAACCTTCCCGATGGAAATGCGTGCTGATCCAAGGGCGGACTGGAAGGGCAGCAGGGAATAAGGAGCGTCTTGTCACCTCCTCATTCTGTAAATATATTGGGATTGAAACTGTGGGAAGTGCACTTGGCTTAATTTGATTTGATTCATGAATTAAAGTTGTTGTTTGGGGAAGTATATAAAATACCTCCCACATAAAAATCACTTCAAAATCAATGAGAATTTCTGAAATGCCAACAGGACTGACAACACTGAGACAGAGTAAAAGCCGACATTAAGTCAGAGGGATAGTTCAGCCATGGTTACAAAATGCACATAAAGCAGGATGCAGAGGAAGACAGATTACATCATACATTCGAGACCACAAAATCCGATCATTTGGATTGATTAACAGCCTAAACTCTACTGCAGTGCCTTTAAGACAGAAATGATAACATTACATGGATATTAAAGATCTTTGATCATTTTTTGGTTTGCATGTTGTTGGGCCATGTGATGCCTGCTCAAATCAGAGCAGTGCAAGAGTAGGTGCGCTTCTGGTATCAGTTGGCCCTATGACAGGTTTCAACACCATTAAGCCTTGTACAGGCTGGGTGAAAATAAGGCACAGTTATCGTTTGTCCGCCAGTGATGAAGTATTTACGATTATTAAGATTTTCACTGATTTGAAGAATGACTATAATAAAAACGTTTTATGTATTATCTTGAATTTGTTAATTTTTTTGGCATTCAAGTTTACATGTCCATTTTGACTTTGAAGATGACAAGCCATGATCTACACTCTAAAGTAAATTTTTTCATAAGGACAGGCAATGTCATACTTCCTACAGGACATTTAAAAATTATATACTAAATATATTCAGAATGTTCTCATCCAGTTAGAGAAATGCCTGAAAGTCGATCAGTCATTTATGAAATCTTATTTTACCTTCATTACTATAATGGGATTTGGAAATGCTGAAGGGCACTTCGATGAGACACTGCCAATCCCTTCAATAGGTATAGATGACACTGAAGTGTGTAACTTTTGTAAAGGATGAAGGAACAAGGAAAACTTCCATAAGAGTCACATTTGAAATAAATGAGAGAATCGCACAGAGCAGGTAAAATACAATGCACAGATACACCAAATTAGGAAGCAGAAAGGAAAAAAAAGTTTTACCCAGAATGAGTGCTAAGTAAGATTAAGGAACATAAAAAAAGTATTTCTTTACTTCTCTAAGAAGTGGAATGAGGAATGGACTTGGTCAAGGTCAGAGAAGCTAGAGTGAAGAACAGAAACAAAATGAACTAAATTACTTTAAAGATAAACTGAAAGACTGCTTGCTCAAAGGCCTTTTCCTAGGAAATAAAAGGGAAATAAAGTCATCTCTCATGTACAAATATAATGAGGCAAGACACATACTGTAGCCAGTTTTTCATATTCAGCATCAAGCATCGAGCTTTCTCAAATAGAAATTATTGTCGTCTCCTTTCCACCCAAGTGGCACTAACTCCAAAAGGGGTAAGTGGAGTGGGAATGTCATAGGAAATTATAGCCATTCATTTGAAAATAGCGCATTATCTTATTGGCACTAAAATACTGAGCTTATTAGAAAAATACACAGATCCTATTAGTTTTCAAAGGCTGACAAATGCCAACAGATACTGCAACTTGAGACCTCAAGTTCAGTGTGTTCTGCCAAATGAATTTTGACAAAGAATGTTTGAGAGATGGGGAAAAAAAGTTAGATATTCTACATCATGCCCTGGCTGGTGTGGCTCAGTGGACTGAGAACCAGCCTGCGAACCAAAAGGATGCCAGTTCAATTCCCAGTCAGGGCACATGCCTGGTTGCGGGCCAGGTCCCCTGTTGAGGGGTGTGCCAGAGGCAGCTGATAGGTGATGTTTCTCTCCCTCTCTCCTTCCCTTCCCCTCTCTCTAAAAATAAACAAGATATTTTTAAATATCCTACATCATCAATATGGCCACCATCTGCTGTCAACAACGAAAAGCACTTCTATATGAAGCAGAGGTGGGTCCTGAGACTTACCACCAGGCCTTCCCTCTGGTAACACCAAAACTAACATAAAACAGAGTTGAGCAACTGTCAAAACAGGAGTAAGTACCTCTGAAGACTGTGTGAGATAACAACGGCCACGTGCTGGACTGTGAAAAGTGCTCATGGTCTCATAACTGACCACTTTGGAAAACAAGTGGATTTCACAAGTTGTGAAAGGGAACAGAAAATTAGGAGCTGATCCTCCAAGGCACAAGGCCAACAGAGAAAGCATGTGCTGGTGTTAGCATTATCTATTAGAATAAGGCCAGCTACTATTTAAATTGTCATAAAAAACACTGAAGAGCATTTTATAAATGACAGGATTAAATAACCTGTAAAAGAAAGTGAACGAGGCCTGAAGGCAAGTCCGATTCATCAAAAAATCAGGACAGCTTTAAAAAAACTACAATTAAACACCATGGACTACCATATGTCACACAGCCAGGGAACTGATGGATCCTGAATTTCTAGGTTCCTTAAAACCAGGATATTATTGAAGTCTAGGGGTTAGTTTTGGTGGCTGACTCACAGAGAAAGATGAAACCAGATAAAGAAGTCTTAAGGAACAGTATGGAAGAAAGGCAGAGTCAGGGCAACATATATAAGATCAGATGACTCACGATACTCCTTCTGGGTCTTGAATATTATCCGTGATAATAAATTCAGAGTTCAGGGTTAGGTAGCAGATTGTGAGAATTAATGAAAATGAAAAATATTAGGTTTGATTTTCACATTAGAAAATAGAGGCTACAATGACATTAAGTGTTGGCAAATATAAAACAGGTGTTAAAACCCATTCTCCTGAATTCCACAATTTTGAAGTTTATAGAATTAGATGTTGTCAACTTCAAGAGGCAGGCATGATTTTACAATTCTGTTCCTCTCAGTGCGCTATTAAATGACAACATAAGTAAAACTTTGTTATTTAATATTGTTTATAGAAGTAAGAAACCTATCATCATAAAAAATGTATACTTATAAAATGTGCAAATCATCAAATGCCTCTTTAGGGACTTTTCTTCAGGATATAAAAAAGGGGAGGCAGAGCAGCTTTTTCTTGTAGTTAAGTATTTCCATCATGTTCAGGAACAGCTTTCTGGATTAGCAGAGTAATCAGGGAAAACCCGAAATCCTCAGTAGTACTTGGTTATTTTGAAAGTTCGAATTATAAATACCGAGGGGAAAAAAAGTTTCAGAAGGTGATTTTTTTTTGGAGGTAATTTGAGCCACCTCGGAATGCACGCCCCTGGCCTCTTCATCCCAGAATTTAAATGAGTCTTGAAGCAGGGAACAGGGTAAGCCTCTGAAACCAGGCAGTCAGCGAAATCCTGAAATCCAGGTCCAGTCCGGGCTGAGAGCCTTGTTGAAGACTCTGTTCTCGTCTTCCAGAACTCCTTTCAGGAACTTAAATTGCCAGTCAGTGCAGGAAAAGGAAGATGCACATTCAGCTGTTGTCAGTTTCTGAATTTTTGTTGTTGTTACCTCTAGGGTACGGGCAAGTGATGTCTTCTCTCTCTCTCTCTTTTTTTTTTTTTTGGTGGAGATTTCCTCCAGTCTCGGAACAGAGCGACTCCGAATTGCCATTTCCTTCTCCGAGAACCTACCTAATGCAGCACTCACAGCCCCTGCCAGCTCTGGAATCTGCAGAGATGCCCGCGGCCCGGCCCAGGGTGAGGATTGGCTCATCTCATCGCAGTGCAATTAAACGGAACCACGACCACCACACAGACCGGCTAACACACATTCCCAAAACATCAGCAATACAAATTTTATCAAGCCTCCTCCAATCAACAGGCTTTACTCTGGATTCAGCTTTTGTAAAAAAAATTTATTCTGCAATGAGGAAACAAAACCAGCCACTAGCTTAACCATCAGAAAGAAGAGAGTTAGATATTTCTTCTCTTCTGCGTGATATCAAATAAAGTGAATCTACAAATAATAGCTGTGGGGGGGACATGGGCCCTTATGGAGAAGATCCCACCATGAAGGCACCTTCCTACCAGGGCACACGCAGAGAACACACACAACATCAGTTATTTACACAAACAGCCCCCCAGGGCCACCACTTTTGTGGTCCCCACGGCAAACCAATGGGATACTCCCGACAGTTTTGCAGCAACAGCTAGTTCAACAAAGCTCTGTGAAGAGGAAAAGAAAGCTCCTTGCATCCACTCCTGCCAGCCGAGGACCCAGACCTCCCGGCGTCCCGGTTCCAGGGCCCTTTCGCCTTGACAGCCCCGGGGACCCCAAATCCCGGGTCCCCAGCCGCACCGCAGCCCCGACCCTGGTTCCCGCGTCCCAGGCGGCCTCCCGGCGCCCCGGAGGGCGGAGACGGCCCGGGCAGGGGGAGGGGCGGCCCCAGCCCGCAGGCCCCCGGGGCGGCCGCACGCCCCCTCCCGGCCCCGCAGCTTTCCCGCCTTCCCCGTTTGAACAGCTCCCGCCAGTCCTCCTCCTTCGGCCCGCTCCAGCCCCTTCCCGGGGGCGGACTGCGGCCGCTACTCCAGTCCCCGGCTCGGCCCCTGGGCTAGGCCGCGACGGGCCTAGGGCGCCCCCCGGACGGTGTCGCGGGCCCCAGGTGGGGGGTGGCGGCAGGGCGGGGCCGCTGCCGCCTCGGAGTGGGGGCCCAGCCCGGCCTCGTGGGGGCTCCGCTCGCCGCTACCTTCACTGGGATGGCCCGGATCCCGCCTCCGCGCAGCCGACCGCCGCCATCTTGGAGAAGGAGAGAAAAGCGCGAGCGGCCAGGGAGCCTCAGTCGAGCCCAGAGCGCAGACTCCGGCTCGCGAAGGGGAATCCCGCAGGTGAAAGAGTGCCGAGCGCATCGAATGAACTGCGGAGCTGGCTAAATTTGAGGACTAGTATTTATCGAGAATTCGCGCTAATCCTCACCACATCCTGCTGATGTAGGTTTTGTTACAGTTTGCAGACGAGAAACAGGCTCCGAGAAGTTGAGTGATTTGCCTAATGATACACAGGTAGCTGGAGTGCGAGGCAGGATACTGCTCCAAGCCTTCTGATTCCCTTTCCTTCAGGATATTTTAATGCAGTAATTTCCCTCTTTGCAAAGCCTGGATTCATGCATATTAATAGCAATGGTGCCTATTTGGAGTTGAGCATCTACATTTGGGTGTTTGGCATATTTGGGATGGTGTGGAAGAATAACACCGCACTGGAAAATAATTTGCATGGCAAATCATCTGCATTTCTCTCTTAGGTTACCTGCATGTAAAAGTTAAAAACAGTCTTTAGAGAAACGAAGAGATGTCAAACACAGGAGAGAGATAGGTTTCTCTGACTTCCTCTGGAGAATTTGGACCCATGGGTAGAAATTACAGTGTGCAGCTCTTGGTTCAATATGAAGATAAATTCATTTTTATAGAGCAGCTACCTGTGAGGTAGTGAGTTCCCTCTCACCAGAGGAATCCGAGCTAGGAATGTCCTAGAGCAGAGAGATTAGAGGTATCGACTGGCTTCTACAGTTGTGAATTCCATGGAACTCTATGTAAAAATCATGTGTTTACGCACATGGGTATTTTTCTGGGGTTCCAGTCCCGTAAAAAATTAGGAACCCTTGCCCTAGTGAGCTTGCCATTCCAGAATTGGCCAGGTGCCTGAAGGCAATGTAGCCATACGGCTCATGTTACATACTTAGAAATTGAGACCAAGAGACGCAAGATGATTGGTCTCAGGCCACACTGCTAATTAGCGATCAGATAAGGATTAGAACAAGCCAGATTATTGGAATCTTGGTTCAATGCTCCCTTCACCATATATCATGGTCTCTCTCCCTCTGCACTGAGTAGAATATCAGATTCTGTTTAACCGCTGCTCTTACAACTATGAGATGCTGAGATGTTAAAACACCTGAGACAAGGATGTTGGATTTATTCCCAAAATATAAATACAAATAATAAATAAAACTAGCATCATTGCCTCCTTTTTCTCAGCTCCCATCCTTCTCACTAAAAAGATAGGCAATGAGTTTCAACAAAAAGTATGGGGTTGCACTTCCTGGGACACCTTGCCTGATGTTAGGCTTCCCTGTGAGTTTTTAAAGAGTGGTAAGAATGTATTTCCTGTCCCAACGGGGAAGACTCAGTTGGTTGGGCGTCAACCCACAAAGCAAAAGGTCACCGGTTTGATTCCCGGGTCAGGGCTTGGGGTTCAGTCCCTGGCGGGAGTGCGTGTGAGAAGCAACCAACTGGGGTTTCTCTCCCTCTCTTTCTCCCTTCCCCTCTCTCTAAAAATAAAAGAGAATAAAACAATTAAAAAAAAAGAATGTATTCCCCTCTTGTTCTTCAGTATTGCTCAGGATGTTTTCAGTTTTAAGCAACAGAAACCTAATTCAAAGTGGTTTTCCAGAAAAGGAGTTGTATTGGTTGACATTAGTGAATGTCCAGGTGTGGCCGGGTCCCAGGGAGGCACTCAGTTCCCTTGGCATCTTTCTGGGGTGCTTTCTTCTGAGTTGGCTTTGCTCTCAGGTTCCAGGTGGTGACTGACAGCTTCAGGCTTCACGACTAGCAGTGTCCCCAGAGAGAAAATGTCTTTTTCCCCATTTGTTTCGGTGGATGTCATGGTATTACTCCTCTCGCTGAATTGGATCCCGTGTACAAACAGAAAGCAGTCAATATGAGCAAAAGTGCGGGATATGTGATCGGCCAGATCAGGCCACATGCTCAGCCTCCAAAGTAGGGTGGACTCAAGAAAAACCAGGGATTATTGTCAGGAGGGTGAATGGGTGCCAGGAAAGCAGGAAACAATGGCTGTCCATCCAACTGTGTCACTAGCTTGAACTCGAGAGCCTCCTGAGTCCCATTTGTCCCAGTCGTCCTTCTGTCCCCCCTGAGGATAGGTCGGTCCAGTTGTTGCTCATCTTAACCTCCTGCAGACCTGAAGGAAGAGAACTGTTTTTTTTGAAGAATTGATTTATTTACTTTTAGAGAGAGGGGAAGGGAGAGAAAAAGAGAGGGAGGGAAACATCAATGTGTGAGGGATACATCAATTTTGTGCCTCCTGCACGCTCCCAAACTGAGGACCTGCCCACAACCCAGGCTTGTGCCCTGACTGGGAATCAAACCGGCCACCTTTCAGTTTGCCAGCTGGCACTCAATCCACTGAGCCACACCAGCCAGGGTGGGAGATCACACACCCTGCTCTTTCTAATAACTTGCTCTTGGTTATGTATCACTGCACGTGCATTCCTCCATTCACTTAAGACATATTTATTGAACCCACAGCATACATTAGGCACTGTCCTAGGTGGTGAGAATAGGACTGTGAACAAAACCTGAGAGTCTTTGACCCACTGGAGCTTATATTTCAGTTGGGTTGGGGGGCAGAAAATAAATAGATACCATGTTCGGTGATGATCAGAGGTGGAGAGAAATGCCAGGAGGTGGGAAGGGTTGTCCTTTAAAATCAGGGGAGGCTTCTCTGATGAAAACTATGCTGGAAGCTAGCTCAGCCAGAGCTGGGTGGGCGGAGGGAGCCAGAGGTCAGAGCTCCTGGGCTGGATGCAAGGTCTTCCTCTGAGCCTCAGTGGAAAAACAGTCTCTTTTGAATATCCTATCACAGTGGTTTTGTTTCTGAGACTCGGAAGGAGGGAAAGGAGGGTTCTCGTGGCAGCCTGAGACGCAGAAGGATGTGGTCACAGTGGGTTTTCTGAGTAGGATGCCGTGTCCCATGGTGAGTGAGGATGGCACCTGAGATCTGTGAGGCCTGGGCACTCCCTGGGCTGGGGTTGTTCTCTGGCCCACCAGACCCAAGTGACACTGCCCAGTGCATGGCACTAGTAGGGGATGGCCCATCCAGTTGTGCTTAATTTGGACGTTTTCTTCTTCAGACCGTTTTTTCGTGTTTTGCCCTTGTCAGCTGCGTTTTGAACAGCTTCTTTCTGCTAGGCCTGGTGAGTGATACTGCAGTGACGGACATTAATACAATAGTCCCCTTTGACTGGGAATGATGGGACCTAATTAAAATGACCTTAAGAGACAAGAACAAATCTATGGCTCGTGTGAAAAAGCACAAACAGCCAGAGAGAAGCTGGCCCTCTAGACAACTGGGTCCAGGTGTTCATATTCCTTCCTCTTAGCTCTGTTCTCTCAGACTGGCTGTCCCCATGGGCCTGGAATCATGGACCAGGAAGCCCAGGCTTGCATCCTCACAGTGGCCTGGCCAGAGAGAGGAAAAAAGCTTCCCTATACCAGCCTCAGGGGGAAAAAAAAATCCCAGGGAAGAACTCTGATTGGCTGGCTTGGGGGTCATGTGATCAGCCTGGATTGTGCTGCACTGTTTGTGGCAGAACTGTAAAGTTGGAATGAGGCGGGAGTAGTAGTTCCACAAAAGAATGGAGGACCCTATTCTGGAAAGACAAACATACATCTCCCATAGTGAGGCAGGGACACACTGTTCCTGATTCTGAGGAGCCTGCTATTGTGTGTATGTGTTGTGGGAAATGCAAAACAAGTCCATAAAAACCATGATGCAAGTTGAAAAGAAAGGTGTTCCACAATAGATAACTTCATCTCTCACTGGGTTAGTACAATAGCTTTCTGGCTGATTCCTGTTCTCCAAGGCCCCCCGCTCCACTTCCAAGGCCATCTCCCCACAGCTATCAGAGTAAAGCACAGCTAAGACGAGGTCATGTTCCAGTTAATGAGGTTTTAACAGCTCCACGTTGCCTATACCATAAAGAGCACACCTTTTCCTGTGGAAAGCCAAGAACTCTCTTACTCTGCTTCAAAGTCTTCTCCAGCCTTGATCCCTCACGTCCCTTCTTACAGGGACTGTCTCGCCATCTCTGAGGCTTGCGGTGCCCCGTCCTGCATCCATGCCACTGTGGATTTCCTTGTCAGTAGTGGTCCCCCATGTCCCAATGCTGCTGCCATCTCTGTACCCAGAAAGCTCCTATTTGTTCTTCAAGATGTAGCTCAATGCCTTCTCTCCCAGTCATCCTCTGGGGTTCCACACACTTGACAATATGCTTCAGTTACTGACTTCCCATGTGGCGTTGCAACAAGGTGCCTTTATCCCTCTAGGCACATGGTAGGTATCCAATGACTCCTTTTGATTAGATGCTGTTGAATGAAGACTGGGGCCGGTCATTTTCCTCAGGCCTCGGGAGGCAGAGAGGAAAACTGCATGGGTGCCTTGTGTGTGGTTTGCTCAGCCCACCTCACATCTTCTCTGCAGACACCACTGTCCAGACTCAGGAGTGGGCACAGACCTCTAGCCGTTGGTAACCCTCACAGTATCCACAGTATTCGACATCAATAAAAGTGACCTGCATACAAAGAAGCAAGAAAACATGACCCACAAGGAGGAGG